TTATTTATTATAGTTCAGGGGATAGTTTTTAGTATCTAATTTCTTTTGAAATAAATCTTTGAGCTATTTTCAGAGGTCCTTCTTAACTTTCTGATAAGAAAAAGAAGTTCTATGTAGAAGACTTTTTAACTCCTGTCAAAACAAAATAACCTGAATAAGACAATATTATATTATTTTACATGGTACTCAGGTAAATAATACTTCTCAAAAATATACAATAGAATGTATGTTATAAGCTGTTTAGTAGTAAAACCGACAGCCCTCAACAAGTATGAAAATAATGACCTTGGTCATTTATTACTTTGCAGGTTGCTCTGGTCTGAATATTCACGGCCCCCCCCTCCCCACCAAATTGATGTGTCGAAACCTAAGCCCCCTTGTGAAGGTATTTGGAGGTGGGGCTCTGCAAATGTCATTCGATGTGAGAGTCCTCAGGGATGGAACCCTGTCGTTGGAAAGGGACCCAAAGAGCGCTGTCCTGCTCCACCCAGAAGTGACCCTCTGGGACCAGGACGCGGGCCCCCACCCTGCAGCGAGTGGCTGCTGCTTGAGCTTGGCCCTCCCAGCCTCCGGACCCACCAGGAATAAGTGTTTGCTGCTCAAAAGCCACCCAGTGTATGGGATTTGGTCACAGCAGCACGAACGGACTAAAAGGGGCATGATTTAACTTTTTTTTTCTTTTTCATACAAGAAACTCTCTCTTTACCGTAGACTCTGCTGCCCACCGGTCAGGTCTGAGGGAAAGGCAGGGGTGTGGACGGAGAGGGGATATGCACTTTGGGAAGGCAGGGTGTGGGGCTCGGGACAACGCCCACGGAACGGGGCGCCTGGGCTTGCCGTGGCTGGCCTATGTGCGTGCAAATAAAAGAAGATACGTCCCCCAGTGTGTATACAAGCACACAGATCTTTGTTGTTTAAGGCATCATAGGCAAAATATAAAGAGAAGATTTACACAGCAAATTTAAAGTCTAGTGTCACATCCAAAGTTGAATTAATTTGACTAATGGAGAAAATCCTAATTGATTTTCCCCTCTTTCCATCTCAAGCATATACTCTTTGAAGGGACTAGAAAATTGTTTTTTTAAAGTAAGCTGCCTTTCAGAACTAATGCTACGTTTCTTCCTCCGATGACATCAATTAGCGAAAGACTGAATTAGGTTCCGGTTCCTCTGTGTAAAGGTCAAGTTTGTATTTGTACTCTAAAAAACCAAGGTTAAATTTTACTGCTGTTTCAAATGAGATATTTAGATTATCTTTAAGTGCATAAATATTAATTAAGAATACATTAGAAACCCTGTTCTTTGAATTTTAAGTATATGGATATTTTATACAAGTGATAGAAATTAAACTTTTTTATGAGAATATTATACATATATAGAAAGTGTACAAAATACGGTCTGAAATTCCCTGCAAACTTAAGTATGATAAACTACTTAAGAATGCCTATCTTCTCTCCTCCTTCAGAAACAAACACCACACATAATGCTTCAGAAAACACAGGAGCCGCGGTCTACGCCGAGCACCACTGTGAAAACGCAGTCCGGGAGAGTGGGTTTGGGACTTCGGCCAGCCGCGGCCGCGGTCTTGTAGGAGGGCGCACACCTCTACTCCTTTATTTAGCCGCCATTTATTTAGTGTTCGCTAGACATGGGAGAAAAAAGGTAGCTGAGTGTGACAATTTCTTTTTCTATCTTACCTTCTCTTTTTAGAAAAATAAAATAAGCATTTATGATACTAAATACTCCCTTTAAATTCTAATTCAGGTACATCCCACAAGATGTGATATGCAGTATATTTTCAATATTGTTTGCTCCCATATTCCCATTGGGAGATTGTTTATTGACCAAGTGAACTGAATTTCCATGTTTAAGAGACTTTTTATGGGTATGTGTTGGTTAGTGATATTTAAATGCCTTAATGCCCTAAAACGCGATCAAAGGTTGCAGTGTGCACATGTGCTAGAACGCGGGGGTGCCCTGCACAGCGGGGGCCGCTCACGGGGGCCTGCTGTCCCGCCACGGGCTTTAATTTGCTCATCCTTCCTGAGCTCCTGGGGCGAGAGCTCTCAGCACCTCCGCGGGCTGGTTAGGTGGCTGTCCCCACCAGGCAGGAACATTTGTCCTTAATATATTTTTAAGTCCATGTTAGTAACGTCATACCATTTTTTAAACTTGTATAGATTTCTGGGTTATTAAATCTTTTTTTAAAACTAGAGAGACTCCTTTTCTTTAGTCATGTATTTTTTGCCCCTAAAAAATGATTTTATATACCATTGAAGTGGTTTCAATGGCTCTCTTTTGGGTAATATTTGCCTGGCATGTCATTTTCCATCCTTTTACTTTCAGTGGTTTTGCTCTTATTTTAGTTCAGTCTAATAATCTGTTTCGAAACTTCAGTTAGTGTATTTATGTGTAATTACCTTACTGTTATATTTGGTTTGATTTCTATCATATTTTTTAGCATGTTTTTTAACCCCACTTGGGTCTATTCACTCTCTTCCTTTTTTTAAAAATAATTTAACAACTGTTTTTTAGTTCAATCCCTTGGACGGTCCTTCTAGAAAATTCAATTGCATCTTGAATGTAAAGGATTGAATGTTGACAACAGCAACCGAACCAATCACTGGGCAAGGACTTGTTTCCCAGGAGGTCACACAAGACAGCCTCTGAGAAGAGCCCCCCACCCTCTGCCGGGGTTCCCAGGATGAGCTGGCGGGGGAGCCGTGACCTTTGGGGGTGTGGGTCCGGCCTGTCCTGGGAGAAGAGGGGGTCGGTGAGGAGGACGCCCACCTTGCTGGGCACTGGGCAACCTCACACTTTCACCCTCCTTGGGGCTCCGGGGTTCAGGCCTCCAACCCCACTATAATGGGGTCACCCAGTGGGACGGGCGAGGCGGCATCGGCGCGGGGCAGCAAGGAGCTGGCCGAAGCCCAGACAGCCAGCCTTGGACCCACAGGGTCATTGTGTTCAGACAGAAGCGCCTTTGAACTGGACCCACCAGCGGCCGGCATTTCTTACGAGAAAAATCACAGATGCAGGCAGTGGAGGGGGGAGTCTGGACCCGGAGCTCCCACCCCTTCAGGACAGGGCAGCCCCCTCCCTGCAGAAGGGGTTCGGGACTAGGAGGACGCTTCTCCTGCAGCTCCTGCCTGTGGCGCTGGCCGCGCTGCTGGGAGCTTGGGGGCGGCCGGCCTGGGAGGCTCACGGCCGAGGACACGCACAGGTGGGGGCGGTTCACGAGGGGAAGGCGGGGGTCCCTCGGCAGCCCTGCGGGCCTGCTCACGTGCTCGCCCTTGAGGGGCCGAGGAGAGCCGCCCTGGGAAGAGAGCCTTCAGCTGTGGCTCAGCGCCGAGCTCTGAGCGCCCACGGCGTGGGGACGGCCTGGGGGACTGCAAGGCGCCCGGCTGGAGGTGTCTGCAGTGGCGGGGGTGGGGGGCGCGGAGCTCGGTGGTCCGTGGCTGCAGCTTACAAAACTCCCGTCCGCAGCGCAGCGTAGCGTCTCTGAGTTTCCGCCACACAAACGTTTTTCACTATGTTGTCAGCGCAGCCCTTCTTATAAAAATATGTGCTTGAGATGTAACCCAGATTTGCACACGGTGTGCGCTGCCAGGGCTTCTGCGGGTATCAGCTCCCCGGGCTGCCCTGTGGCTTAATGCCTGCGCAGTCCTATGCATTGACACCAACGACAAGTTGAATGTGCAATGACGCAACAGCCACGATTTTCAACCCCACTCAACAGTTTCCCCCTTCGACCAATGTGAAGCTCAATCTCACAGATGCAAAATTGTCTCTTCCTCTGCAGCCGAATCCTGCAGAATTAACATATCCAGGTGCATGAGAGGCAGTCAGCCTCTCTGTAATTGGAGATTTCCATAGAGCCTCACATTGTTCTGGGGACCATAGTGTTATGTAACACACACCAAAGGGTACAGATCTATTACCGTTACTGCTAAAGGTAATTGTACCTACATATTATGTATCCTGTAATATATACATATTACATTTGTATGCATGCACATATTTATAATTATACGTAAGAATCCCCCTGCAAAGTATATGCACTTTAATTTTCTCCTAGCAGCAAAATGACAGGACTGTACTATGCTCGATTTCCATGAGTGACACCTAAGTCATTATTTTCCTTCAAGATCTGCATTAACAGACATCTGTTCCTGGTCCTTTGCCCCAGGTCGGCAAGAAATGGTTGTCACTTCACCACGGCTCACGGCTACCTGGGGCGCCCCCTGCAGGCTGCGGAGAGGGCCGTGGCGACTGCAGCTGCTGCCTTTGACAGGCTCTGATCCTTAGAGAAGATGTTAGCTGTCACATCGTTAGGTGACAGTTTGTGCACTAACAATGACATTTGTGTTGGCACCCAAAATAGTATTTACAACCCAGAAAACCACATACAGTCCGGCTATGATGGACCCAGGGAGTTTCGAGGTAAACAGCGTAACAATATACAAAGCACAAACAATAATAAAACTATTTTAAAATAACGTCAGTACTCAGGGTCTCTTTCAGGACACATTTGCTCTGTACGGAACACATGGGGCACCTGTTTGCGAAAGGAACGGGACCGCTGGGGGCAGAGGATGGAGATGCACCTGCGTGCGGAGCTGGCCGCGCACGCTGGCTCGGGACCAGCCCGTGCCAGAGCGCTGCTGGGAAAGGCGACATCTCACAGCGTCAGGAGAAGCGTCCACACTACGCCGCCTGACTTTCTTTTGCCAGGCTCTGAACTGGTTCTCCTGCCTATCCCCTGAATATCACTTTGTAAGGAGAGTACATGGTCACGTAGCCACCCAAAGTGGTTAAGTCCCTAGGAAAGCAACACTGGTAGGCGAAACCACAGGGAGAATTTTTAGGGAGTATTATAAACGCTTTTAACGAATGTGACCAGAGGAAACAAAAGTCAGTCAGCGTTTTCATCTGCATTGTCGTTTCCTAATGAGCATCGAAGAGCCACCAGTAAAAGAAGGCATGTGACCGGGTACTCACCGCTCTTGTCCCAGGGCAGTTCAGAGACTGGCACTCGCCCCTCATCCGGTTTGGGATTAGGACGTCTTCCCAGCAGGACGGGCCCTTGGAGAAAAAGCAAACAAACCAACCCTTGGCACACATGTCGCAACGTGAATGTTCTCCCCGACACCACCTCTGAGAGCTCCCTCCCTATAAAATGGCGATGGCATGCGGGCTCCCGTGACTTTCGAAGTGACGCCTGGAGACCCCGGGGCCCCCAAGGCCCTTCTGGGGGGCCCCGCAGGTCGGGGCCGTTTTCATAAACACCCTGAGATGATATTCGGCACATTGCTCCAAACACATAGTTCACTTACGTGTGGAAATCTCCCCACTACCGTTCACTGGAATAGCTTAAAACCTTAAATAATTTTCTGAAATTCATCGTAACTTCAACGGACAACTTTTACATGAAGACACACACGCACATGCCACTCAGAAGGACTGTTCGGGCAGCTGCGGATGGAGCGGGCACCGCAGAGGGCCCGCCCGTCAGGGGGGCAGGCTGAGGGCCCAGCTCTGTCCTGTGCCGGGCGCCCTGGAGGCACGGGGAGGGGCAGGCAGACGCGGTGCCAGCGAGAAGACCGCACACGGGGGCTGCGCCTCTTGGGAAACGCGCAGCCAGGGGAGGGGCCCCCGTGCCCTGCAGGACCACGAGGAGGCGGTGCCTCAAAACAAACAAAAAGGGGCAAAAGGAGAGAGAGCAGAGGGAGAGCCGGGGCAGCAAACTCGGAAAGAGTAAAATTTCTGCCAAGTTTAATTTTCATAAGCAGGAGATCCTAAAATCCGCTAGAGAGAGATGTCGGATCATCTACTGGAAACAAAAATCAAACTAGAGTTTTAAAGTAGTACCAGTACCTTCAAAGCCCAGAGGGAAAGAGTTTTGCTGTGCAACTGTCACTCTAACCTAATTATCAACGAAGCGGGAGCTGGCGCAAAGCGATTTCTGCTGCACAGGGCTGCAAAGGTCGCTGTGCGCCCGGGAGGTCTCAGCGTTCAGAAGGGCGTCCGCCAGCTGGAGGGATTCAGAAGGGCGTCCGCCAGCTGGAGGGAGGCGAGAGGCCCACCTCAGCCCCGCCCGGGACAGGGCAGGGCGGGGCCACACCGACTGGGTGCCGTCTCTGAGGTAGGTGGGGCAGGAAGGACAGAAGGGCGCGGTGGGAGCGGGTGCCCAGGCAGCGGCCGGGGGCGGTCGGGACGGGGGCGGGGGCTGCGGTGATTTCCAGCCGAGGACACGGGGGCCCCCGCAGAGGCTACATTAGGGCGAAATCAGTCATCGCCAGGCACCACCAGGACAGCCCACCCCAGGGCCCAGACCAAGCAGCCGCCCGGATACCCGGCTGCTGACCCCAAGGAGACCACAGAAGGCACCCAAGGGTCCCAGCCCCTCTCGGGGGTCTGCAGGAGGCCTGCCGGCCTCCCCGCCTCCTGCAGCAGCACAAGGTGCCCACATGCTGCGTGAAAGAAAACCAGGGGCAGCAGAGACGGCCTGGGAGACCCAGCCGCTCCCTGCTGGCCCCGAAGCAGAGCTTCTCAACAGACTATTCAGACCAGAGCCCACGAGGAGATACATTATGAATTCATAGGCCCTTGCACCAAAAGCCACACCTTGAAGGAGAGGGAGTAAGCGAAGATGAAAAAGAGGTCACAAAGCCAGCCAGGGACTGCGGTCCTCAAGAGGCAGCTTCCAAGGCTGGCCCTTGGCTGCCTCCTGGGGGTCTGGATTTGAGGAGTCCCCCCACCTGACTCCCTTCCACGCACAGAGGGGTTGCAGCATCTAAAACGTGTGTGCAGACAGCGTGGCTTCTGCTGAACGCACCTCGCCCCCCGCACCCCCCGGCTGTGCCTCAACACGTAAGCGTTGCCTCAGGTGCACAATGAGAAGCCCCCAGGGAAAACCCCGGGCTGTCACGGTCCCGGGGGACCAGACGCGTCCTGTGCAACCCCGGTGGGAGAGGACGCTCGGCAACTTGCCTGTGGTTCCCTCCGACCTCACTCTGTGTGCCCTCCTGCTGCTGTGTGGTGCCCTCTCCGTACTGAACCTTTATTACACCGCGTGCCTGTCTGCTGAGTCCTACATCCATCCAGAGAATCAGCAGCCTAGATGCGCAAAGCGGTCTTGGGGACCCATGACCCGGTGGCGTATGATTAATCAACAAGGACGTGGTCCCGTGGCAACACAGGAGGGCCAGGGCACATGGTTATCTGTCCATCTGTCGCCGGGAAGAAGGAGTTTCATTTTCTGTGCACACCCGCATGTGGGCGTGTGCTCACAGACCTCTGTAGTCATTGGATGTTCAACCTCATAATCATGCTATTGACACAAGGACAGAGGACTTTAGTTAGGCTCATGTAACCAAAAACATAAGGTGGGCAGCTTAGACAATATAAGAGTGTAGATACAAATGTTTAAAAATCAGACAGCAAAGGTGGGGCTAGGAAAGACTTGTTCTTTATTATAAGGTCATTCGCATATTTGTCCTTATCTTCATTTGATAAAACTGAGAACTTTGCTCTGACTGGTGGAGCTCAATGGTCTGAGCGCCAGCCTGTGAACCAAAGGGTCGTCGGTTCAATTCCCAGTCAGGGCACAGGCCTCGGTTGTGGGCCAGGTCCCTGGTAGGGGGTGCATGAGATGCAACCACACACTGATGTTTCTCTCCCTCTCTTTCTCCCTCCCTTCCCTTTTCTAAAAATAAATAAATAAAATCTTCAAAATTTTTTTTTAAATGAGAAATCTATTGAAATCAAAGAGAGGTAAAGCAATGACCCCCAGAACCCACCCCCACCCGTCAGCCTCACTCTCTCACTGAGAGCGGGAGGTTCCATGGGGCCAGACGTGGCCAGAATGCAGGTCCCACGTCACACTCAGGCCTCGGACGCGGACCCCGCCGTCCGCCTAACGAAATAACGCACGTGCTTGTTTATCCAAACGACTGACACTGTCAGCGCTGGATCTATTGCTCTCGCTGGCCTGGGAACAGAAACTAGTGCCCCAGTGGATTTATGCCACTACAGAGCAGATGTAACTGTGCTCCTTTCTAGTCTGAGAAAATATAAAATGGCAGTTGGGTAACCGTGGCATGCTGCGTTTCGACAGTTCCATGGCTACAGCGTCTGTAACGAGGAGCCTTTGCCCGGGGGCGGGGAGGCGCGGAGGGAGTGGCCCCTGGACGACCAGGCGACCAAGGACTGCGGGTCGCAGGGCAGCGGAGGGGCCACGGAGGGGAGACAGCCTGGGGGAGAACCCCCCGCACCCTCCCCCAAAGCTGTATTTCATCTCTCAAAGGTGGAGAAGCGTGGAAGCCCGCCTGGAAATCGGGTCAGGACAGCGCGCCATGCACATCACCACCAGGAACCTGTTGGCTGCTTCTCAGAAAGCTTTCTCCTCTTCGCGCCCTGTCCCAGGTACAGCCGAGGAGAACACGCAGGCTTCTGGAGCCGCAACGGCAGGGGCGCACGAGCGCGGCCTGCTGGCCTGCGCCGGCCCACGGCTTGTTTCTGCGCAGCTCCCTAGCCAAGGTTTTCTGTGTTTAAAAGGTGGGGAAGCCAAAGTGGAAGAAAGGTTCTTGGTGGCACACGAGCTGTAAATGACCCTCACGTGCCCCTGTCCACAAGGGGACGCGCTGGAACCGGCCGGGCGGCTCGCTCACGGGCTGCCTGCGCTGCTCTCCCAGGCGCGGCTGAGCTTCCACACGGACGACGTGGCTCGCAGAGCCTGAAATACGTCTTGCCTGGGCCTTAATGGAAAGTGTTTGCCAGTACTTGATCTACTGTAAATTACCTAAAAAAAACTGGCAGCATGTTTTTCACCATCTGATTGCCTCAGTGTGTAGGAGTGGCTGTCCCCAGGTCCCCAGTGAGAAATGAGTTCAATGGAAAGCTTGGAGCTGTTGCCCTGTGCCTTCAGGGAAGGGGCTGTCGGGGGCAGTGACGCAGGCCCTTTGAATCCATAGGAAGGTGGACAATTACAACTAGAGATGACATTTGGGGATTTGTCCTGACTGATATCACCACCAACTGAAAATGACGGAGTAGAATGTTATTTAAACACAGCCACGTGATGCACGTAAGTCAGAAAGTCAAGAAAATGGCACCATGGCATGACCTATGTTTCTGGAAGGACTTTTCGTTTCAACTGAGACCTGAGGAATGAGCAGAAGCCAGGCGGCAAGAAGGACGTCGATCAGGGGGAAAGCAAGACTTCGAGCAAGAAGGGAGCCGTGCGCCACCAGGCCCCGGAGGCGCTTCTGGGACCCATCCCCCTGACCAGGTGGCATCGAGAATTCGCTCATGACCAGATCACTCCTTCTGTGCAGCATTCTTACTGTCTTAACCTGCAATACCGCAGCAAGAGTTAATAGTCTGATTCAATTAAATAAAGTTAGATGGAATATTATGCCAAGTACTGATTTCAAAGCAATGAGCATGCCAAGAGGACAAAATCGTGATACTTTTGCATCAGCTGGACTGGGTTTCAAATCTAATTGGCGTCCCCAGTTGCACAAGGATGGGAAAGTCAACTGATCAGACACTTGTTTCTTATTTGTAATGCGGGAGTCTCAATTATACCTAACTCATGGCATCAGCATAACACTATACTTGCAGCTACTATTCAGTAAATACTCGAGGGCGCTGCTGAATGACTGCCGTACAAGAAAAATGTGGCCGCGGAAAGAGCACCTCAGTACACAAGAGGTCAGAAGACCTGAATTCTGGACATGTTTCCACGAGAGTTTAGGCTCATCAATTTAACAGCTGTATGCCTCATTTTCTTATCTGTGCATTGTGGGTAATAAGGACTTGGGGTCAAATAAGACAAAGGGTGAGCTAATTGATGAGAAAACCCACGGGAAATGATAAGATGTCATAGAGACATTGGCCAGCGAGGAGACAGTGGAGCTGGGTGTGCCTGGACTCCTACACCCTCCCCGCCGTGGGCAGCCCCAGACACGATGCCGCCTGCGAGCAGAGGGCACGCCTGGCACGTGATGACGCGCTGCTGGCATCGGGGCAAGTCTGCGCCTGCGTCGCTTACCCGGCGCCGGCGGGGTCACCCCAGCCGT